CAACTCCTCGCATCAGCTGGCAGAAGGAACACAGGATAAGATTCTTTCTCCGAAACTGACTCATGCGTTCAGCAGTGTGCAGCAGGTTTGTGTAGGAGGAAGGATATGAAGTCCTTTTATGTTCTTTCCCTAAAGTTGTTTTTGTCCTAGTTGTGGCTTGATGCATTGTGTGTGGTCAGTTGCCATAATCATGTTGCCATAATCTGTTTTTTTGTTTTTTTTTCCTGCTCTTTTGTCATTATCAGTGTGATGTATTTAGTGGTCGGTAATATACCTGGAACTCTTCTGGTGCGTAAAATTCCAGAAACCAACATCTGCCTTAGTGACACTTGAAAAATCAGACCAGCAAAGAAAGAAACATTTTCATCATTATCAGCTTTCAAATCTTCATTGATCTTTCATCTATCTTTTTTTGTGTCTACCATTCATCTGCCAAATTCCACCTGGAACCAAAATAATGTTTTGTTTTGACTAAGAGTAGTGTGTAGTTGTTGAGGAAACTGATCTGGAATGAATGAGTCTGAAGCTGTATCAGTAATTCAGGGGCAGTCTTGAGTGAAGGAAAGTCTTGTGCATGCTAAAGCTAGGAAAGCAAGTTATGCTGTGTAAAGATGATAAAGAAAGCACTTTTTTTCAGGTGGAAGCTGGACAGTATTGCACATTTGTGGTACACAGTGACGGGGGAGTAAGTGCCTGTGGGAAGGGAAGCTACGGAAGGCTAGGCCTCGGTGACTCCAACAATCAGCCCTCACCGAGGAGATTGAATTTGGATGCCAGGGTGAGGAGAGTCTCTTCCTCCAAAGGCAGTGACGGCCACACCATGGCATTGTCCACGTCTGGTCAAGTCTACACCTGGGGTGATGGTAAGCCTTCCTTTGGAGTGTTGTGTATAAATCAGGTGTGAACTCAAGAGGGTTGAGAGGAAAATACATTAAGAAAGGTAATCAAAATGAAGAGATTTTTATTGAATTTAGAAAAAGAGTAATTTAAATTAAATTAGAATTAGAATTTTTAACTATGATAGCATTTTGTAAAAACATACAGTTTGCTGCAGATTTCTATAGAGTAAACATTTGTTCCCTTAAGAAATTGTTGAAAAGGAATGAGATTATTATTATTATATCTTCTTTTGTAGGTGATTATGGGAAGTTAGGGCATGGAAATAATGTGACCCAGAAGTACCCAAGGCTCATAGCAGGTCCTCTCAGTGTAAAAGTGGTGCGGTGGGTATCTGCAGGATACCGTCATTCAGCCTGTGTGACCCAGGAGGGAGAACTGTATACGTGGGGTGAAGGCGACTATGGGAGATTGGGTGAGTGTGTCATGTTATAGCAAACATGAGTTGAACAAGTTTGAATGAGAATGTTTTTTTTTCACAATGCAAGATATAAACAAAATGCAATTCAATGTTGCAACTTTCTCTGAATCATGCAGTTGCATTGGAGTCGTAACATCAAAGTGCATCATATTTTGGATAGTGAAATCATTAATTCTCATTTGTACTTTTTTCTGTGCCTTGGTCATAGCAAATTTTGGTCTGGGATAAGTTTCTTGAGACTTTAAGTAGTATTGGAGAAAGTTATTCTCTTTCCTTTTTATTTAAGACTAGGTTGATGTTTGTTTTTCATGTTAATGTGTAGGTGCTGCCCTCAGTAAAACAGGAGGCCAAAGATGGCAAAAATGGCTTTCAGTGTCTCTTGTTGTAGTATGGAATAATGTTACTGGTGAAATACATATATTTGTTATCATTGTTTCAGAAAGGAAGATGTTAAGAAGCACATTAGATAATACAATAATTTAGTTTTGACTAAGCTCTTGTGATTTTACTCCTAGACTTTGGGGGAGTACACTATGATGTTGTACTGCATTGGCAAATTCTTTTACTATTCCCCACGCTTGCAGGTCATGGAGATAGCACAAGTCGAAACGTGCCAACACTAGTGAGGGATATATCTGGTGTGGGTCAAGTGGTATGTGGCAGTGCCCACACACTTGCTCTCTCGGCCGATGGTAGGACAGTGTGGTCATTTGGATCAGGTAAGCTGTACTAATATAATCTTTTTATTTTTATTCCTTCTGCCAGTATTTCATTTCATAAGGGGAAAAAAATTGTTTAGAGGAATTTTGGTAATGACTTTTCAAAAAAGAGGGAGAAGAGGAAGGAGAGGGAGGAGAGGGAAGAGAGGAGAGGGAAGAGAGGAGAGGGAAGAGAGGAGAGGGAAGAGAGGAGAGGGAAGAGAGGAGAGGGAAGAGAAGAGAGGGAAGAGAAGAGAGGGAAGAGAAGAGAGGGAAGAGAAGAGAGGGAAGAGAAGAGAGGGAAGAGAAGAGAGGGAAGAGAAGAGAGGGAAGAGAAGAGAGGGAAGAGAAGAGAGGGAAGAGAAGAGAGGGAAGAGAAGAGAGGGAAGAGAAGAGAGGGAAGAGAAGAGAGGGAAGAGAAGAGAGGGAAGAGAAGAGAGGGAAGAGAAGAGAGGGAAGAGAAGAGAGGGAAGAGAAGAGAGGG